TGTCGTTCTATTAGAGGTTTTACGGTAATTTAACTTCCAATTCTCTTGCATCTTGCTGATGAACCACAATTTACATATGAGGAAAATTTGGGCAATACAGTAATCACTCCGTGATTATGCTGTCTCTCAGGCTTAGATAAATGTCAGAAAATATGCATTCCTAAGCCTATTAGAAGTATAATATATCATCAACAATTATTTTGCTATACGACCTCAAAACTTTAATTTCTTACACAATTCACATTCTAGTACATTATTCCAGCATCTGTGCATTTTTAAGTTTTGGTCCTCTATTTTTTCTTGTGATCTCTAATTTTTTTGGGACCTCTAAACTAGAAAAGAGCCCAATTTTCTCAAAAAGCTAAACGAATTTAAAAAAAAAACTATAAAAAACGAAAAAAAAGTTCCTGGATTCTCTCTTTTTTGTTGTTTCTCAAACATTTTTCAGTGACGTCTATGTAGCCTTTTTTGTATAAATCTAGCCAAAAAACATTTTGAGAACCAGAGAAAAAATTTGAAAATGGCTGAAAAACCATCCACAAGACACCAAAAAATGTGTTATTTGCTATGAAACGCTGAAAACCATATGACCTTTTCATTGAGCTAAAAAGAAATTGTGTCAAAAAAAACACAAAAAAAGAAGAAAAAAACAAATAAAGTACCTGGCAAAAAAATAGCACATTTTTGACCTTTTCAGTGGAAAATAGTCAATTGTCAAATACCAAAAAAAATAGTGGAGATTTCATTGGATTTATCTCAAATGTTCAAATTATACTAAACAGAAAAAAGTGTTTCTAAATTTCTAAATTTCTGAATTTCTGAATTTCTGAATTTCTGAATTTCTGAATTTCTGAATTTCTGAATTTCTGAATTTCTGAATTTCCGAATTTCTGAATTTCTGAATTTCTGAATTTCTGAATTTCCGAATTTCTGAATTTCTGAATTTCTAAATTTCTGAATTTCCGAATTTCCGAATTTCTAAATTTCTGAATTTCTGAATTTCTAAATTTCTAAATTTCTGAATTTCTGAATTTCTGAATTTCCGAATTTCTGAATTTCTGAATTTCTGAATTTCTGAATTTCCGAATTTCTAAATTTCTAAATTTCTGAATTTCTGAATTTCTAAATTTTTGCTGTCTCGCCTCCTTTAAAAATTACGAAAAAGGGAATTATAGTAAATTAATTTTATGAACCGATCCCAAAAAAAGAGACAATCAAGCATTATTTTTGAGTTTTTCTTTAACGCTTTCCTTCACGTGGTCATACAACGATCCTAGATCATCTTTGTACGGTTTCAAGTACTCCAATGTTTCGGTTGCTACAGCCTTCAATGTACTGCGAGCGTGATTGACAAATTCTCGAGCAATAGCTTTTAAGTTTTCAACCGATTTGTTTCCAGTTTCAAGTCCCTGCCAATAATCCATTGGTCATATTAGACAGCTGAAAATGAATATCATCACTCTTCAGCGGGTTTTTTTCAGAATCTCACCAATAGAAGCTTCTGGCAGATTGAATTGCGCCAAAGGCGCACCAGGTCAACGTTGATTTCTGAATCAGGTTTTTCGAAAATCAGACAATGAATGAACTCGAATCGAAAGTGAAATGAAATCAAACTTGAAGAATCGGAATGACAATGCTAACGGAACGATACAATTGGAGGATTGTGATCGGAATTTTTGATAATTATAATTATTCGACCTATTTTTCTTGCTTATGCTTCCGATATAGTCAAATGATGGGTTTATCACGTTTTTTTTTCGAAAACTTTCATTTTTTTGGTTGCTGGTAGCTGGATTTTATACATACATCGCCGTCACTAGAATGCTCACTTATTTTAAAGGTGGGGGGACATGAAAAAAGTAATGTTCTCGAAATTCCGTTCAAAGATGCCCCTCGAGGAGTTGAACTTGTGAGGGTTTTTTTTTGAGGGTGCGGCGCCGCTACCGACTGAGCTACACGGGCAAAGAGAAAACGCACGCCCGATTGCATACATAAAGGCGAGGACGACAGCTGTACGCAGAGTGACATTAAGCGTTGTACACCGTCACGGTAGAATGCATACTCTAGCTACAAAAAAACTACGAAAAATCTCCTGTCCCCCCACCTTTAAAAACATTTTTGCTGAAATTTTGTTCTGCTTGATTATTCTTTTACCACAATTTTTCCTATAAATGTCAATTTGTAGTTTCCGCTTTTCAAAATCACCCATCTAAACGTTTTGCGTTCAAATTAACTAATTTCCGTTTTTTGA